TTTGTTTGTTTGTTTTTTTGAGACAGGGTCTCACTATGTAGTTGAGACTGACCTGGAACTCACTATGTAGCTCAGGCTGGTCTCGAACTCACAGCGATCCTCCTTCCTCAGCCTCCTGAGTACTGGAATTACAGGTGTGCACCACCACGCCCGGCTTAGAAATAAGTTTTGATTCCAAAATGGATCTTGGTAGCAAGAAGCAAAGCAAGTAGAGTGTGTGTTGATGAAGACATGCTATTCATTTGAGAGACAAAACATCAATGTACTGTGAGAATGGTGGTTGTTCTTAACTTGTCATGGATTATATATTCTAATTCCTCTCTCCTTAAACTAAAAAATAAAGCTAAATTAGCACAGTAAAAGAAAAAACAAAAGCTACAGTAATCAAAATAATGTGATACTCCCCCGCTTCTTTAAATCAACAGAATAGAACAAAGAGCCCAGAAGTAGCTGACAGCAGTGCCAAGACCATTCAATGGGGAAAGGATAGTCTTTTAAACACATCTTGTTGGGAAAACTGTACATATCTATATACATGTGCAAAAGAATGAAGTCGGGCCTTTCTAAACACCATGTATAGAATTAAGCCAAAATGTATGAAAACCTAAAACTAAAAATCTCTTAGAAGTGAACAGTCTAAAACTTTATGATACTGGGTTCAGCAATAATTTCTAGGATAAGGTATGAGAGGCACAGACAACAAAAGAACAAGTAGCCAACCATGACTCAGTGAAAGTTTTTGAAATTTGCATCCAAAGATAGTATCAACTGAGTAAAAATATAATGCTTAAAATGGAATAAAATACCTGGAAACCATATATAGATGATAACGGGTTAATATTCAGAATAGAAAACTCCTAAAACTCGACAATAAACCCAATTCAAAATGGCCAAAGGAAACGAATAGGTAGTTCTCCTAGCACACATACCAGTGGCCAATAAGCATATGAAAAGATGCTCAATGACACTAATCATTGGGGCGATGCAAGTAAAATGTTTGAGATGCTATCTTACCAATACATGGCTACCATAAAAAGCATAAAAATTTGTGAGTGTTTTCACCACAAAAATGAGCATGTAAGGTAATGTCTATGTAAATGAACTTGACATAGTCCACAGTGTATACATATGTCAAAACACCATGTTGTAAAGAATTAATATATACAATTTTATTTATCAAGCAAGTACCAAAATAACAAGTGTTGACAAGGGTGTAGAGAAATGAAAACACTTGTGTGCTGTTTTGGGAAATGTACAATGAATGGTGCAGCTGCTATAGAAAACAACATGGTAGTTTCTCAAATTACTGAAGGTAGAATTATCATATGACCCAGTCATTCCAACTTGAGTATATGATCAACAAAATTGAAAACAGGATCTTAGACAGAAACATAAGCATCCATGTTTATAGCAACATTATTCACAATAGCTAAAATATGAAAGCAAGCCAAGTGTCCATCAAAATAGGGTATATGCATAGAATGGAATATCATTCAACCTAAAGGATATCCTGATAAGCATTACAATACGGATGAACCTTAAAAACACTTCACTAAGTGAAATAAGCTTGTCATGATAAGACCAATACTCAGCCAGGACTTAGCTCAGTGGCACCGTGCATGCCTTGCAAGTGCAAGGTCCTGAGTTCGATCTCCAGGACCAATACTGTATGAGTCCCTTATGTGAATACCTAGAATAGTTAAATTCAGAGACAAAGTTGAATGGTGGTCTCTAGGTGCAGAGAGGAAGAAACAGGCAGTGATGGTTTAATGGGTACAAGTTTCAGTTTTACAAGACGAAAAATATTCTGGAGATGGCACATCCCCACTGACTTCATTTTCTTCCTCTATGCTCTGTGTCCTAAGGGTTCTACCACCTCCCAATAGCACTTGGGCTAGAGGCCATGTTTTTAGTTCAAGTGCATTTGAGAGATATTTAAAATATAAATGATACCAGTCCTCAACCTAATAACAGCTTTTATACTTTTAAGTAGTTGTAAATATAAAGTCGTATTTTCTGTGATGTGAAATTTGTTGTATTATCATTGTCCGTGAGTAAAGCTTTATTAAAATACAGATATTGTCCCTCATTTGTTTCCAAATTATACCCACTAGTAATAGTTGAACAGTCATCACTGGGATGTGGTGCTTTACTAGTTTGCGCTGCTGTGGGAACACTACAAATCACAACAGTTTTCACTTGACAGCACCTTGAGTACCAAATGATCACAAAAGCATGACATTTTATAGTTTTTAATGTCCAGCACAGACTCACCATGTCAAGACAACAACAAAAAATGAAAAGTTGGTTTTAAATTTTACACTTTAAAGACCTAAAGGCATGTGGATTTTCTATCAATAGTTTTTAATCCAGCACAGTCTCACCATGTCAAGACAACAACAAAAAATGAAAAGTTGGTTTTAAATTTTACACTTTAAAGACCTAAAGGCATGTGGATTTTCTATCATCAACTAGATGACAAGAAATTGTGTTCATCATAAAATCACATTATGGCTATGCTTTTAAAAAGTACAGTAAAATAAGAGTTGGGAAAACTACGGAAGTTTCAGAAGGAATAACTTATCACAGTAGATTTTTTTCACAAAAATAAAAATGAGGCTATAAAGTAAATTTCTAGATGGCTCACTTGTTGGGCAAGCAAAGAAAGTCATTTATTCATGGTATCTTAATAAAACCACATTGGATTATAGAAGCCAAAGAAAATAAAGTAGTTTAAAACGATAGGTTGGGTAAACCTTTTGTGGAATACTTGGAACCAAAACTGTTTAGGATTTCTGACTGCTTGAATTTTGGAATATTTATAATGAGCTATCTTGAGATGGGGCCTACATCTTAATATAAAATAAATTTATGTTACATACACATGTCATACAAATAGCCTAAAGATAATGTTATACAATATTTCTAAATAATTTGGGGCTTGGAACAAATATTTATGATGTCAAGTTTTCCACATGTAGCATCATTTCAGCACTCAAAAAGTTTCAGGTTTTAGAGCATTTGGATTTCTGGTCTTGGAGTATGGATGTTCCATCTGTACTAGTGAAGAATTTAGAACAGCATCAATAGCCAATTTTAAAACAAATAATTTAGAGTGATTTTCTTTGGCTTTTGAAGAGTCCACATATATTTCCAATACTGTTCAGTTTATTCAAAGAATCAATGTCAAATCTAAAAGTCATAAAGCATTAGCCTCTATGGATCCTCTTGGTAGACCAAATATAATTCAGAATATTTTCAAAGAAAACTAATTCATTTCAAACTTGAATGGTATCTGGTAAGATGTGTTATGGCTGATAGTGATAAAACTGAATGAGGAGAAAAAACCTTGGTTGGAAAATTTACAAAGTTTTTGAAAATGTATGGTGTTTAAAGATATCATTTTATTTGTCATATTATCCATCAGTAGAAATCGATGGTTAAAGTACTTGATTCTATCTTGTGTTACTATAAATCATTAGTATTAACAATAAATTTCATTTGCTCTTATGAATTTAATAATATTTAGTATCACTAATTTTTGTCCTAAATAGAAGCAAATATCCTTATTTTCCCCTTTAATGACTTAGTAGTGGTATATTTTATTGAGATTAAAAAAATACACACAAGATTTAAATTTTTCTTCTGAATGATGAATTTCCTCAACCACTATTACTGAGCTTCACACTGCTTTGGAAATTAGTTTTGCTGCAAACTTGACAATGTTTCTTAATGAATGAACCTAAAATTACAATTCAAAATAGAGTCTATATGCAAAACCTATATTGCAATAAATTTATTTTGGTGGCAACCAACGTTATTGAAATCACAAGCAATATAAAGCTTTATTCATTTCCTGTGTCATCAAAAATTAAATAAGAAGCAAGACTTCCACTCCACACATGTTTGCCGAGAATGTATTTTCTGAGCTCAGTCTACAGTTCTAGCGGTACTTTTTGGACTTCAAGACATTTTCCTGTTTTAAAAATCTATTTTCTGTGCAGTTGAGGCACTTCCACTTAATCTTTGATTGGAAGTGATTAATCTACAGTATAGTCATAGGCCAAAAGGCAAATATCTAGGAAAGTACAAGGAGTTCTATAGATACATTCAAGTGATGAATATTTTTAATTAAAACCACATGCTCATGATTGCTGTCAGGACTCAGATGTATCTTATTTGTGTGAAAAAAATTTTTCTTATTGGTAAGTACTATGAAACATTGCATTTTGCCTCAGCCTACGAAGCCTAAAATATTTACTATCTTATCCTTTACTGAAAAAATATAAAGCTTCCCACAAAGAGGACTGTAGTGTCTGAAAGTTGCAGGGAAGCCTCACTAAAAGTGGCATTGAGGAACTTCTTGCTAGAGAAAGTCTGCCTAAATATGAAGACTAATTATTCTTATTTAGCAAGCAAAGCCATGTCTGTGGTCATACTACTATAATCAAAAATAGAAGTGGTCCTAAAGCTACATTCTTCCATAGACTGTGTGACTTAGTTGCAACAAATACTATCATCTGTCTCCCATTGGTACTGCCAGTTTGAATTTTTATTAGTTTTATAGTTTTTTTCATATCTTTTGTATTATACACCATGTATTGGATTCAGACATCATAAGATTTACCTCAAATACATAGGAAGAAGACAGCCTATTCTACCACCTTGCATTTTATTAATTATTATAAATACTAAACTTCACTTTTTGGAAAACTTTTTTTTTTGGTACCAGGGATTGAACTCAGGACCTTGTGTTTGCAGGGCAGCGAGGTGCTACTGAGTTGAATCCTTGGCCCCTAAGAACATTTTACAATATAGCAATATGTCGGGGACTATTTTATTCATGACTAACTAAAAATAAGCTTACTGCCGCCTTCAGGTTTAAAAATTCAGGTTAAGTAAGCTAACTTTCAGTTGAAAAATATAATATGAACATGATTCTATTGATCAGATTATTTTTTTAAAATCTTAAAGAACATAAACAATCTCTGCAGTCTTACATTTTAGTGATTTTCTGAAATCACTGATGATTCACACATGCATAAGAAAGCCCTTGCTTCATTGCCTGTAAAACAAATACCATCATTTCAGATAAAAGTTAGGGTCAGCACATGCTTAAGGGTTAACATCAAATGTTTTCTATTGAATAAGAGTCTCAATGCAAGATACCACAAACCAGAATCCTAAGTAAGATGATAAATAAGTAAGCCACCTAATATTAAGGCCACTTCCTTAGCTAACCTTGCTAAGAAATCAGAGCGTTAGTCTGTGACTTCTAATGAATATGTTTATACAAGTCACCCTTCATCACCAGTCCCTACAACCTGCAATCTAATGAGATTGAAACAAAAGCTTTTTCTAGGAAGGAAAAGTTTTCTAGCTCTGGAAAATTACAGGATGAAGGCTGACCTGGCAGCAAAGGGCTGCAGGTCATTGAATTGTAATCCCAGTCAGGTCCTCATGTTAATATGGCTGGAGATGTGAGCTCTCTGCCCGTTCTCCTCACCATGAACCTGGAATAATACATAGGACCCCCTACTTTGCAACAGATGATGAGTGTAGTAAATAAAATGGCAGCAGCATTTTCTTAGAACAAGACATAAAATAACCTCACCGCGATATTCTCCACACACTCTTTGACACACTCCCTTCAATGGCTCTGCCATTTTGCTTATTGATTCTTCTTTATTTTCAATTTCAATACCTTCTCTACAGGTTGCTTCAGGTTCCCTGGCCTTGCATGTGTTCAGTCTCTACTTGGCGAATGCCCCCAACCAAGCTTCTGGACAAATATTCCTCCTGACTCCCCAGCCCCTCTCTTCTCTTAGGGACCCAGCTGCTCCTGCCATGTCCTCTCCACACAGACCTTAGCGCCTTGCCTCTGCCTGTGCTGTCTTGGGACAAGCCTGCAGCCAGCCAGCTGTCAGTGAGGTGTCCACAGTGACTCCTGCATGGGATGGAAAATATATCCTTCTCTAACTCCCAGCCATCCCTCCCGTGCTAGCCCTGCACACAATGTAACAATGCCCCTTATGTGTCATACCTATGTCACTTACCCTCTTCAGGGGCTGTGCTACCTCCTTGTCTCTTTCAGATTCCCAGTGCTGTGTGCATAATGGAGTTTAGTACATGCACACAAAAGGTAAGGAACTGTTGAACCTATCATTCTTCAATGGTTTGGTCTATAAATTTGGGTTCAGGAAAGATGAGATGAGAAGAACTGCAACTTCAGGAAACATTAGTTCTCCCACGTTCTCATTTTTATCTTTAAGTATCCTGTTGAACAGATATTGACATTGTTCACTCCACAGGATTTTCCTAGCCAAACAGATTTCCTCTTTTACTAATCAATACACAGTTCAAAGCGCCAATAAACATTTCACAAACACAAACATCCTTAACAGAAAATATTATTTTAGTTTAGTATTTGCCCTTATAACAATATAATCTATGTTTGGATAGCATTTGTGGGACTTTTATAATATATTATATTTCACACTAATGTGGCATTATAGAAAAGGGATTCATCCTATATTAAATACATTTTCTGAATAAATGAAAACAGCCCCCTTAAAGACCACTCCTAATTTATTTATTTATCTTCAGAGTTGTTGGAAAGGAGATTTCATTATCTTCTTCCTATGCCGTGGAAGAACATTGTGTTCCTGTTTCATTTCCTCCCTCAAGGAGAAAAAGGATAGCAGTTCTCTGGGTCTCAGGACGAAGCTGCTCCCACTGGTCCTAGCCAGGACAAGACACGGAGACTGTTGACTGACTTCTGATCTGCCAGCTAACGCATCCACCACCCCTGAAGGGCAGACAAGTGACTAAAAGGCAAGTTGTGGATTTGGCCTCAAGGACCACGAGTTCAAACCACGAGGTGATCAAAATGAAAAAGCAGCACCCAGGGTGCAGCTGTCCACAGAGTTGGCATCTCTGGATTCTGGCCACTTGCAGTTAAGTGTCTAAGGGGCACAGCCTCCTAGACTAAGACCATGCCTTTAAAAAAGTTTTATTTTATTTATTTATTTTTGGTACCAGGGATTGAACTCAGGACCTTGGGCTTGCAAGGCAGGTGGAGGCACCACTGAGCTAAATCCTTGGCTCAAGTTTTATCATTGTTGATGGAGATCTTAGATTTGGAACTAAAATTAAACACTGCAGTACTTACATAATTCAGAATCTGTGAATGCTTGCCTACTTAGATGATTAAAAATCAAACAGTTAGCCAGGTGTGGTGGTGCATGCCTGTCATCCCAGCACTCAGGAAGCTGAAGCAGGGTAGTTGCAGGTTTGAAGCCAGCCTGGGCCGCATAGTAAATTCAAGGCCAGACTAAGAGGAAGACTCTATCTCAAAAAACCAAAACTAAACCAAACCAAACTAAAACAAAACAAAACAGCTTGACTTTTCATGACATCTTCTGGGAAATCAATAAGAGCACCCATTCTTGGATATCTGTAATAATGCCACATGAACTTTGTTTCTCAGCCTTCTTATTTCTCATTATAAGATTGCCTCATGCTGTCATTTCACTTGCTGACCTTTCCTAATTACTTTGGATTTACACCACCCTGGGAAAATGGATAATCAAACTTTAGTCAGAAACATGCTTGTGCCCTACTGTTGGGAATGTTAAAAAGTGCAGCCACTATGAAAAACAGCGTAGAAGTTCCTCAAAAAGTTAAAACTGGGACTACCAGTAGGATTCAGCAATCCCACTTTTGGATTGTATAACCCCAAGAACTAAAGGTAGGTCACAAGGAGGTGTTTGTACATCCATTTTCATAGCAAAATTATTCCCATATAGATGAATCTTGAAGGCATGCTAAGTGCAATAAGCCAGTCCCAAAAAGATACAGATTGTGTGATTCTACTTATCTGAGCTACCTGGGGTAGTCAAATTCACAGAGACAGAAAGTAGAAAAGTAGTTTCCAGGAATTGGGAGGAGTCAAAAATGTGAAGTTGTATAGTGGGTACAGAGTTTCAGCCTGATTGATTAACTGAAAAAACTCTTGAAGATGTGTTGTACAACAATCTGAATGTGCTTTACACTACTGAACTACACAGTTAAAAAGGGTTACCATGGTAAATTTTATGTCACATAAATTTCACATTTAAAAATAAATTTAGAAATAAAAGTTAGAAGCATGCATTTATTCATTCAAAAATATTCCCACCGCGCTTACTATGTATCAGACCCCATTCTTGATAGCAGAGATAAGGTGCTGAGGGAAACAAAGTTTTGGTCTTTATGGAGCTTATATCCTAGTACAGTACATAATACAGTAAGTAATAGCAAAAATACCTTTATGGTCTACTTAATAAATTGCATAATTTTAAAACACTAGTTTTCACAAAATAAATGTTTTATCCGGATGACATACAGCCTGTCTTACTCTATTTTGTGTAGCTGTAACAAAATACTTCAACTTAGATGATTTATAAAGAAAAGAAGCTCATTCACCTCACAGTCCTGGAGGCCCTAGTGCATGGTGCTGTCACTTCCTTGGCTTCTGGTGAAGGTATCGGGGAGATGGCATCACGTAGTGGGAGCACGCATGGAAGAGAAAGACCAGGGCTAAACTTGTTTTACAACCACCCGTGGTAACTGATGCAGTTCCTCAAGAGCCACTGTACTCCTACAGACCTAATCTAATCTGGAGGTGTCTAACCTGGATTCTGAAGAAAGATACCCATCCATTCATGAGAACAGAGCCTTCCATGAACTATTTCTTACAGATCTCACTGCCTCTATGTTAGTGTAGTGGCACACATCTCAATCCCAGATGCTTGAAGAACTGAGGCAGAAAAATCCCAAGTTTGAGAGCAGCCTGGACAACTTTGTGAGATACTTCTCAATGTGAAAATGAAAAATAAAAAAGGCTGGGGTTGTAGCAATGTGGTAGAGCCCTCCAGGTTCAGTCCTCAGGTCAGCAGAAAAAAAAGATCTCATGATCTCTCAAAATTGGCAACCAAATTTCAACATGATTTTGAATAGGGATAAACCATATCCAAAGCATAGGACTGACCTATTTCAATGAATAACTTGAAATATAAATATCTTAATTCTAAAGTAGTTTAACAGCTAAAATTTTAGAATCAACGGCCAGGCCATATATAAAAATAGAATTCTGAAGGTAGGTGTTCTGAAACATTCCTGGAATCCCAAAACTCAGAGTCTCAGGGGAAGGTCACAAGTTTGAGCCCAGCTTGGGCAACTGAAAACCTTTCTCAGAATAAAGTAAAGTAAAATGAGAGCACTGAGAATGTAGCTGGGTGCAAGGCCCCTGGGTGCCATGGATCAGCAGTACTGGAAAAAACAAAAAAGAACTTTGATCCTCAACTTGCAGCCAACTTCTCAGGAAACCAACTCCGCACCTACAGTGTATGTAACCCAGGAAGCCAGCCCACTATAAATCATGCGTGCAGGAAACCAGATTGCTACCTTTCCTGACAGTCAAGAAGCTTAAATATAACTTCTCTAACAGTTAGGACTTGAACAATACCTGAAAGCTTCCCTAATTTGTGCCCTTCCTTTTTTAAGACCAATCAGGAAAAAGTCAAATGTGCTCCTCATCCATTTCCCAGGACTCCCTACTCCTAGATAGCCTGCTGACAACTTCCTCATGCCAACAGTCTCCATCAGAGCATACCCGAAGCTTTCCCTTTTTTCCATTGTAAAGTTACCTGCCTACTTTAGAGACCAAGGGTGGCTAACTCCATTGCTATAGAAACTCAAGGTAAATAACCTTGGCTTTTCTCATTGGGATGGTCTTCATTTATTGTTACTCAAAAAACAGATAATAAATATTAAAATGCATAACTATATCAAGAGCTGTTACAAAACTAGGTTACTATAGGGATCATTCACGAGAGATTACTCTTTGTCGATTCCCACCTCTACCCACTCCTGCCTCTCCGACAGGTTTGTCCTGTCATTAGTCAGTTCCCCAGCAGATCCATAATCACTAGGTACCAAGAGCACTGTGAATATTGCAAAGACATAATTTTTAACAATAGGGCATCACCTGAGAAATTCTTTTAGAACAATTATTTTGCCACACGATCTCCTGGTTAAATGATCTGCAACTATAGCTACTGTAGGGTTTGAGGAATATCTCCCCTTTTATTAGCTTTAACGTTTGGGTGGACTGGAGTCCAAAACTGAAACTCAAATAATGGGGCCAAGCACAGATTCTAATAAAAAAATATATGATTAGAGGGGCTGGGAATGTAGCTCAGAGGCACTACACCTGCCTCACAAGCACAAGGTTCTGAGTTTGATCCCTGGTACACACACACACACACACACACACACACACACACAATCAGAGCTTAGGAAAGATTTCCATTTGCATGGATCTGTATAACTACTGCCCACCTATCAGGCATAAGAAAGCACTTGATAAAGCCGAGGGAATTGTGATGTTGAATAATTGTTCAGCATTGTTTAGAATAGTATTTTATATGGATTTCTCCCTGTATTTCCACATACACAACATTTTCCTACTCTTTTTGGTAGCCGTCCTTTTACCTCGGGAAAGATAACACTTCTACATATTTTCATTTATTTATGGTATTAGGGATTGAACCAGGATTTTCCAGCTGAGCTACAACCTAGTCAGTAACAGTTCCACTCTACAACTGTCATCAATAATAATAATATAGGCAGAAAGCCAAACCAATTATTGACCTATAGTAATTATCTACTAAATACAACCATACCACCATTAACAATAGAAATGAATTTAATAATAACATAGTCAAATAAATATCTAAAAATTATTAAAACGTAACAGTAGTACTAATAAAAATGGAGGTGGTGGGGAGGGGAAAAATGAAATAAATAAGATTTGAAAAATAAGAAATAAAAAGGAGAGAAATGAGATTAAGTGATCTGATTGCAGAATAATGAAATATAATGGAATAAAAAAAACATGAAAAAAGACCAAAAGGAAGAAAAAGAGGAAAAATA